TACGGTGAAGCACAGTACCTTTTTATTTTGCTGTCCCTTATTAATGGTAATCTAACAAGTTGCTGTCCTTTAAAAAATGACTACAATACGTGGACCATATGCATGTGTTTCTAACCAGAAGAAGGATATGGAGATAACGAACAGTATTCAATCTCAAGAGTCCATAAAACAGTACAAAATTGGAGCAAAGCAAACACGGACCTCCGAAACATCAGAAGTGGGATCAGGTGCCATGGAGAAGTGAGCTTCCCCTGCTGACTGGTTACACCTGCCGTGTGCTCCTTGTCATGATCGGGTAATAACGGAAAAATTCGTTATGTTCTAATTCGACCAATCTCAACCGAACATAAATTATTTATACCCTCATTCAAAAATCAAAACAAAACACCAGTATTATGGGTAGCAGCTCCAAGACCTGCGCATTTAATTGACGACATTGCTCAACATTTAATAAAGTGCTTTAATAACATTTACAAACATTAATATTACAACAACACAAGACTTTCAAAATAGCTTACGGGAGGGGGGGGGGGCGAATTGTGACTGAAATGCACGCAGTCTTGAGCTCAAATGACAAACACAAAGAACACACCTTTATTAACATTACCAGCTAACCGGTCATCCAGGTATTCCTACTCACTCAGGTAAATATAGAATAACGTGTTTGAAAAGGAATCGTACGATTCTAATTTTAGATTTATTTCAACCTGTTATAAAAATATTTATGTTCTAATTCGACCAATCTCAACCGAACATAAATTATTTATACCCTCATTCAAAAATCAAAACAAAACACCTGTATTATGGGTAGCAGCTCCAAGACCTGCGCTTTTCGAAATTCAAAGAAAGCTGTCAAAATTATTCATATAAGAGTTCAATATAATATATGTCATCAAATACCCAAAGACTTAGAAACGGAAAGTAAGGACTGCAAGTTTTCTTTAACATATCCGTCTTTTGCGTTTTCTGAACGCCACCTCCCATGTTTTTTGAAAAGTCTGTCATTAACTCCGGCGTTAGCTGCAGCTGTAGCCCCTCCAGATCTAAGACTATGTAAACCAAATTTTGATTTATCAATTCCAAGAGATTCAAGAGCACTCAACAACAATTCCCGTGCTCTAGTATAAGACAAAGGACCTGAATTTCTTAATTTAAAACTGTTCTTCTTTTTACAAAATGTAATGGCTCTAAAAATATAGCAGTCTGAATCTGAAGGTATATCAGCTTTTTGTAAATACAGTTTTAACATTTCATAAGGACAAGTACATTTTCCCGTTTTTGAAATATTCACATAATTGCCTTGTTTATATTTGTCTGTCTTACTCTTAGCAACATACAAAGTAACATATCCATCGTGAAAATCGATATCTGAACGTCTTAAGTTCACTAATTCAGAAAATCTTAAAAAGGCTGCAAAACTCATAAGACACATGCAAGCAATTCTCACTTCAGGTAAGTTATTATTTGAAGTTCCGAATCTTTCCGCGATCTTTTGTAAGGTTTCCGAAGAAATTGGCTCTTTTTTTGGATACTGGTTTAGCTGTACATCTGTGTGCTCCTTCCTTTACTGAAATCACTAGTGAAGAATGACATGGATTTTTAAAACCTGACAAATCGTGCGCCCATGAAATGGCGTAAAACGCTTCATTAACTTTAGCCATGGAATTGTGCTCCTTAGATAAATGAATCAAATACAATGACACTTGAAAATCGGAAGCAGGAAATTGTTGAATAGGAGGACTGTGAGAACTGCACCATTTTATCCATCCGTTGAATGGGTATTTATATTTACGTGACGTATTCTCAGCTTTGGATTTTTCACAAAATAATTTCAAATCGTTGAGATTTTCGTTCGATGCCTGAAAAGAGCGCCATCGTCCTGTTTGAAACACATCTGAAAAATTTAGAATTCGAAAAAAGAAATTATTTTCCTATCTGTACTTTTAGAATCAATAAAAGACCTTGTCACTCATGCGTGAGGACCATGTCTCCCAAATATTGTCTAGCCTTGTCTCTCAGTATACAATACTAGGACCATGCTATTATGAAAGATACTAAATTACTTTAATTTTTTGACCACGACTCTCAGCATATGATATACTAGGACCAGGTCATTATTTCTTAACTCATTCAGAGTAATACAATCTTCAGGCTATATGAAAACGCTACATGTACGTATTCAACATAAATTTATCATTGTCTCATATACATTTGACGTATGTACGTATTCAAAATAAATTTATCATTGTCTCATATACATTTGACCCTGTTACTAACACAATTGTATTAGGACCATGTCTCACAATCTTAAAAGCATATCCTCACCCCTGAAATTTCTCAGTACCGAAAATGCAACTTTTTGAAGAACCCTTTTGCAAAATAATGGAAGTATCTTTAAATTCAATCACTTCATTGGCATAATTCTTATATTCAAATTTCTCATCGAAAATCATTGTCCAAAATGCCGCAGATGGCCATCTAGGAACAATCAATGTACTATTTGCTCTACAATACAATATATGTTTAATTGCTCTCATGATTAAATGCACGGGTGGCACAACCCAGTTGTTATCTGAACCCCAGTCTTGGGAAAAGCAGTCCACTGCCTCAGTACCCGGATTCCAAAATAATGAATTAAATCTTGGTAATCTAGTATTTTTAAAATTGGCAAATCTGTCAATATTATAAGGACCCCACATTTCATTCATAAAATTGAAGAATTCTGAAGAAACGAACCAATCGTCATAATCAACAATTTTACTCAAAAAATCAGCCTGTTCATTCAAAGATCTTGGAATCCATGTAATATCTATAGAAATCTGCTTTTGTAAACACAAAACAAAAATGGAAAAGGCTATATCTTGTAAAGACTTTTTCGTACTACCACAATTTACGATTTTTACACAGTTTTGACTATCTGTGAGAATCTTAATTGATTTTCCACTCAACTGGTCTTTAAAAGAAAACAAAGGTTGTTGAATAGCTTTAAGTTCTCTCCATGTTGAACTTTCTGCGCACTCTGATTCTGAAAAATTTGAATGAAAATATTGATCTTCATTATCTAAAGAACATATGGCACCCGCTGCCACTGAACTAGCATCTGAACAAACGATTGCATGCGTCTTAGAATAAGATCCCAAAACACGCTTATTCAAATTATTTAAATGGGAAGACCAAAACACCAACTCTTGCAAAAATGCATGCGAACTTTCAAATTTTAAAAATCTATCCCAAGAACTTCTTGACTCTATAAGCATGTAACATTGACGAGTCATAAGCCTGCTAACATTCCCTATAACTGGACCCATGGAAATTATTTTTCCTGTAAACTGTGCCAACTGTCTCGCTGTAATTTTTGGTAACCCATCAAACAATTTTGACAAAGTATCTAAACAATCCTGTACCCTTCTATCTGGAATGCTTAAACAATGCTCAGTAGAATTCCACACAAGACCTAACCACTCTAACTTCTGAATAGGTTCAAAAACTGACTTCTCTTCATTCACTAAAAATCCAGCTTGTATTAAAGAATCTTTAACAAAAGCGCTATGCTTACTACAAGATTCACGAGAAGAGGACATTCCTATACCATCATCCAAATATAAGACAATATTAATGCCCGATTGTCTCCAAAACTTAACCAATGGCCTAAGACATTTTGTAAAAATGTAAGGTGCTGAACTGAGGCCGAAAGGCAAAACAGTGAACACATAACACTCCCCTTTCCAACAAAAACCTAAGAATGACTGTTGCGCTATGCAATTATCTATATGATGATAACCTGACTTGAGATCGAATTTAAACATGTGACAATCCTTTTCAAAGTACTGAACAGCTACTTTCCAGTCCTCAAACTTGATCTTATCCTTTCTAACAAAGACATTTAAAACACTTAAGTCTAAAATCAATCTCTTTTTACCAGAGCTATTGATCGCCACGCTCAATGGGTTAACAACAATAGGTTTGAATGGTACTCTACGCACACAACCATATTCTAAGAGTTCTGACACAGCCCCTGAAACAAAATCTTCATTATTACATGCAGATCGGTTATTTTTTAAGAATAAATATGTTGGAGCGTTGATAAATGGAATGACATAACCACTTTCAATTGTACTAATAATAAATTCTGGAGCCTGAATACTCTTCCAAAATTCTACAGAATTTCTAAGTCTATGCTTAACGCCTTTAGAATACTGTAATTTGTCTAAATTTCTTAAGTAAATTTGCTGTTCTATAAACAAATGCAGTTTTTCACTCTTGTCACTTATCTGCCTAAATTCAAAACCAGAAAAATCATACTTATCATTTACTGGAGGTGCCAGAGCTTGCACTTGATTGACTTGCGGAGCTAAACAGTGGGCAGTTTTTCCTCCAATGTCCGGCTGTTTTACAATGGAAGCAGATATCGTATGAGGAGGGTTCTAGCCTTTTCCAATAACCCCTAGAGTCTCCATACTGACGAAAAAGCTGTTGCTGGCTACCGGCTGCGGCAGGAACGTTGAAAGCAGCTCCAGAAGAACGAATAGGCTTATAGGGTTGAAACCTCTTCTTCTCCTTAATAGCCCGTTAAGCCCTGTTTTCTGCTTGTCGGAGCTTCTTATCATCGTCGGAGTCGGAAGCGACGTCGTTTGTTTCATATTGGTGTACCGTTGCCCAGTCTGCAGGGGAGTTGTCAGCAATTCTGATAAGTTTGTTTCTCTTGTTGATTTTGGTAATTATGTCGTCACACAACTTGTAGCAGTCTTTGCTCAAGGATTTGACTTTTTTCTGCACCTTCTCAATAGCGGAAATAATCTCTTCGTTGAACTCAAATTGAATTTTGTTTCCTGGTGATTTCAATGAAGAAGCGATGTCTTTTTAAAGTTTCTTTTGAAGTTCAATTTCTCGCAATTCCTGTCCTTTGAGAATATCGCTTTTAAAAGTTTTCAGAGAAGAATCCAAGTAGGTTTTAAACAAATTAAAAGTATCTGCAATGTCGCCGCCTCTACTGTCGTTGTTAGTTTCCTTGCCGGTATCAAGAAGGATACTTTCATTGTCAGACATGACTATAACGAATTTTGACTGAAATGCACGCAGTCTTGAGCTCGAATGACAAACACAAAGAACACACCTTTATTTAGGCCTTTCAACTGCCGCTAGGGGTCGGTATTGTGAACGATAACTCACAGCTGAAACTTGTTTAGAGCAGGCTCAGGGTATCTCAATGATTACATGCAAGGCAGTTTTTAGCATTTCCCAAGTGTCTCTTTGCTCTCCGTAGACTCTAATGGTTTTAAAATTTATCACCAATGTTAAACTTATTTACTGTATAGTTTCGGACACCGGTTTACTGCATCTAATTAAAATTTTTAATTAAAATAAAAAGTGAAATCTACCCTCCTTCTCAGTTCTAACCTTTTTAAAATTTTATACTCGGTCGTTCCCCTTCGTGCTTAGTAACACAAATAAGATGATCAATTGTTGCATTTACTTGTAAAAATATATATACTTACACAGGAAGCGAAAAAGCGCGAACACTAAAAACATGACATTGAATTTTCTTCTTCATAATAATCGTCAAGGAGAGTTAAAACTATTGAATATAGTCTGTTCCCCATTCATTTGACCTTGTTATTGAAGGTAGAGTGAAGGCGTTCTCTTTCTCTTGGTCAAAACTTTCTGTGTACAAAACAATGTAAGGAACCCTTTTGTGCATATATCAATACCAATGCTGAAGCAGCGTATATGTCATTCCTATAAACGATAACTCATAAATTGGCACTAAGTTGGTCATTTTTCACACCTGAGTTACCTGTCATTAAACACAACATCGGAAAAGTCAATTATAAATGATTAAACTTTTTTATGATGTAATTAAAAGTATGCGTAAGTTATTATCTTTTTTGATAATTTCATGTACCTATAAATCTATCTTTACAATGTTTTTACCATATGTGCAACTTGAAAAATTAGTTGAAAGGCCTACTTTATTAACATTACCAGCTAACCGGTCATACAGGTATTCCTACTCACTCAGGTAAATATAGAATAACGTGTTTGAAAAGGAATCGTACGATTCTAATTTTAGATTTATTTCATATATGTTATAAATACAGTGTATATTTGTCAATTCAGTGTATAAATAATGGACTAACAATTAGTATGACGTCAGTCCGCATTTGATAAATTGTATTTGCGGACAAGGTCATTGTTTCGACCATAGAACTTACGAAATGATGACTTCAAACAAGTCTGCTGATATACTTGCTTGTCAATGATTTACCTCATTTTAGAAATTGTTCATACGCAGAGCATGCTCTTGTGTATCGAATCAACTGAGATATATATACTCCGTATGTAGGTGATGAAGGTATATTGCTGCATAAGTTAGGGAAGTTGACGATAGAAAAGTAAAAGTCATCACGTTTATCATATAGCTTAGTTGTTAGATTACCATCTTTTTCAAGTAATATATCCAAGTATGAAACAGATGTGTCAGACTCTGTGGTATCTTTTAGCTCGAGCTCATTAGGATATAGAATTCAATTGAAGAAACATGCTGAGTTTATTGGTTATTCATGCAGGTTCGTTTACATTTTCTATAATGATCCACTTTGACTGATAGAACTTTCATAGCAAAATTGTTATATAAATTTTATCTCCTATAGTTTTGTCATTTTAAAAAAAAATCTATTTTGATACATATAACCCATAACGGCTTGAACTTTAAAAACATTATAGATATAATCGGAAGAAATCTGTTATAATAATAATTTGAAAATTAGATCTGATGGTACTCGTGTAGCACAGCTCTGTAGTACGAAGATTTTTTTTCGGAGTCCCCCCCCCCCCCCCCCCCCCAACACATACACATGGAAAACCGTTGCTACTTGTATCAAGCTTTATTTGGATTCCTGTATATCAAATTATTTTGCGAGTATTGATGCTAAAAAATAATGCCGGTGGAAATTTGTTTAATCTTTCAAAACCTAGTACTAGTCCTTAAATGAAGTTTTTTTATTCAAGTTGTTTTCTGTATATTGCAAGTTCTTCCTACTTTTTATAATGCCCGTGCCATAGAATCAATGTTTAGTTTGCATATAAAAGTATGTGTATCATTCGCCAATTAATATATAATTCTATAAATAAGATATGAAGATTTAAAAGCTAAATTTGCTAATGAATACTAGTAGCATATTCTAATTTGAATAGAGCGGATTATTGTACGGAGTTTCTCGGATAGCTCGTACCGAATGGAGCGTTGCAGAGTCAGCCGAGGATTGCCGACTAGAACTTCTCGTGCATGCTTAGCCTGACGTTTGCCCAGGGCATCCGGTTTAACATCGCTTATATATTTTCTGCGTGGACCTCATGGTCCAACAACCTAGTATGATAAACGCGATGACTAACTTTTCAATCGTCAACTTCCCTTGCTCATGTAGCTGCATACAGAGTTTATATATCGCAGTTGATTCGATACTCAAGAGTACGCTCAATTTAAGAACAATTTCTACAAAGGGGTAAATTATTGCCAAACAAATTGATGAAACAATAAAATCAGCAATCTCGTTTGAAATCATCATTTCGTAAGTTCTGTGGTCGATAGAATGACCTTGTCAGCAAATAAAATTTATCATTGAGTCAAATGCTGACTGACGTTTTTCATACTAATTTTCAATCCATTATTTATACACTGAATTAACGAAGGATTTTTCCGTTATTTCCCGATCATGAAAAGGAGCACACGGCGGGTGTGACCGGTTGGCAAAGGATGCTCACTCCTCCATGGCACCTGATTCCACCTTTGGAGGTCCGTGTTTGCTCTTCTCCTACTTTGCACTGTATTGTCGATTTTTGATCTTGAATACTAGCTGTTTGTTATCTCCATATGTTTCACAGGATCTGTCATGGAGGACAAGTTCAACATCGAATGCATTGGCAAACAAAATGTATATATATCAAATTATAATCCCGCACATCCAATGTACAGCGGGGAGGGGAACTTCCACAGGTACAAATTACAAATTACGATTAGATGACAGAGCTTTCAATTATGTAACAAACCGAACCTGACATAAATACATGTAATAACAATGATAACTTACTTTGAACCGTTAGCTTGCCAATCTTTTTAGGCCAGTCTGTCCCTTCTACGCCTTGGATCTTTATTGTACAAACATAATCTCCCGCGTCTTCCTCTGCTAGATAACGGATCACCAACATGTAGGTGATTCTTCTTCCGTTTGTACGACTCTGTATATCGTATTTGTTTAGTCCAGAGTCCTCGTTTATTCCCTGATTGTAGCCTATAAAAATATTTATATAAACAGTTTTTTTTAAAATCTGGATTAGACACTTTAAATGAAAGATTGGTAGTAATTACCGCAATTGAATATTTTCACCATGATAAATATTAAATTATAACAGGGACAGTAGAACAAGATGGGACTCTGTTTGAAAAGTAGTTTTTCTTACCTTGATAAACTATTTTTTCATCTTCACTTAACAAAATAGGATTTCCTCCATTGACCGTTTGTGATTTAGTCCATTGCACCTGTTAGAAAATTTCAATGTGATACCTGTTTTAGATTCATTGTTCAAAACGAACAAATGAAAACAACAAAAGAATACAAATGTGCTTAATATGCTAAACTAACATTTCTGGGTTCACCTTTTGCTTACTATGGGTTGAAAGTAATGCAATTTTTCTTTACTTACGAGGGCTGTTCAATAAATAATGTCCTCGGTGCTCAGAAAGAAGCAAAAGACGCTTTTCAGTGATTTAGTTTTCATGATTTTACTTATTAATCTCTTTTAATAAAAACACATGTCCGTAACATTTTTTATCCAATTTCTGATTGTTTTTAGAACTCATTTTTGTGTATGACCCTTAGTATACTTGAAAATGGCAGATTCAATGATTTCCTGGACTTAGTTCTGCCTTCTGAAAGGTGTTTTTTTCTTAAGTTTGGAAATAGAAACAAGTCAAAAGGTCAAAGATCTGGCGAATATTGTTAATGTGAAAAAACATAATTTTCTGTTTATCCCGAAAACTCCTTTACTCTTCAGGGCTAGCGGGTTTGGACGCTGTCATGAAAAAAAATCAATGTAGAGGATTCCTGATTCTGGGCCCGTCCTCTAGTAAATCTTTCGATTTTTTTGCCAAAAAATTGCTTTCTAGACTCCTCCAGAAATAAAACTGTCTCCCCGAATACGAATTTGAACAACAATACCACTAACATTTAAGAAAATTGCATATAAATCTGTCTTTGTACTTATCTATACCTTAGCTCTTTTCAGACCTTCGCAGTTTTTATCAGGTATATTTTCTGGTAAATTTTGTTTTGAAGGTTTTAAGCAATAGATTCATGTTCCAATATCTGTTTGAATATAAAACAAACGTGGATAAATACAATTACTGATATTTTAAAATAATTGTAAAGACTTCGTACACGCTGTCGTTTTCACTCATTTTTCAAAATATAGGGTGACCTTTGAGTAACAAGCTTTTTTACCGTCAAACGTTTCTTAAAAACAGTGTAAACTACTCCCGATATGATGTCTATCAAATTGCTATGTGTCTAACAGTCGATCATACGTCATCAAATATTATCTGTTGAAATTTGGCGAACAGTACATAAGTTGTTATAATTTTTGTTTGCAACGACGGTACCCATTTTTGAAGCCCATTATATGTATTTTTTTCATTGAAAGATCTGGCAAATATTGTTAATGTGAAAAAACATTTACTTTCTGTTTAGCCCGTAAATCCCTTTACTATTTAGGGCATTCAATGTAGTGGATTCCTGATTCTGGGTCCTTTCTCTGATAAACCTTTCGATTTCTTTGCAAAAAAACTGCTTTCTAGACACCTCCAGATATTAAACTGTCTCCCCGAATACGAATTTGAACAATAATACCACTAATATTTAAGAAAATTGCATATAAATCTGTTTTTGTGCTCTTGCATACCTTTGCTCTTGACAGACCTTCGCCGTTTTTATCAAGTACATCTTAATGTAAATTTTGTTTTAATGGTTTTAAGCAATAGATTCATGTTCCAATATCTGTTTGAATATAAAACAAACGTGGATTACTACAATTACTGATATTTTAAAATAATTGTTAAGACTTGTGTACACGCTGTCGTTTTCACTCATTTTTCAAAATACAGGGTGACCTTTGAGTACCAAGCTTAATTACTGTCAAACGTTTCTTAAAAACAGTGTAAACTACTCCCGATATGATGTCTATCAAATTTGCTATGTGTCTTAAAGTCAATCATACAACATCAAAAATTATTTGTTGAAATTTGGCAAACAGTACATAAGTTGTTATAATTCTTGTTGGCAAGGAGGGTACCCATTTTTGATGCCCATTATATAATTTTTTATCTTTGAAATCCACCTGCTCATTTGTCTGTAAAACAGGCATTGGTTGCTGTAAAGGTCACATATTTCAGTGATTATTTCTCTGGGATTTTTAACAAGTTTTACAGCATCTTTAATGAAGCTTTTATTTTCACTCTAGTTTACTGATTCTGTATCATTCATTTATAATGCAGTGTCTCGAATAACCCTTGTGTCACAGCTTCTCACGATGAAACTATGTGATGAAAAGTGGTCACATAAACTGTTATAAATTCATTTAAGATTCAATAAAGACAGAATGTCAAGCTTAATGTCATATGATATCTGTATTGTACGTCATACAGTTCAGGACATTATTTATTTAACAGCCCTCGTAAATAAAAGAGGAAATAGCAAAGCAGTCGACAAGTACATATTGTAGTAAAATTAAATTTCATGACCAAATCTACTTTGATATTTCAGTTTGTATTACGAGGGTTGCTGTATCATTCGTGGACGAATGTTTTAATTTTTTAATAAAACTGCACAATCTTCAAATTTGTGACAGTCTTACAACTATCAAAATTAATTATTTTTCTTTGAAATGGCATGCACACAAAAGAGGACAAGGTTATCTTTTATTCAAACTCAAATTTCACATATAAAAGACTTCGCTCTGTTACCTCTTTTGAAAAATGCAAAATTTATGAAAAAAAAAAACAAAACGTTTTTCTGTAAATATGAACTTGGTTAGAAGACTTGAGTCAACTTTGCATCTTTTCGACAAATGTTTAAGTCCAGTTACATTGCATTGCATCCAAAGGCCATATCACTAAGAAAATTGAAATTCCAGGTAATCTGCAAATTAACAGAACTATTAGAAAAAAGAATCAACAAGATGTGTTTGTGAAACACTATGCACCCGGCGGCAACAAAGTTCGAAAAAAAATATTTTTAGCCTATATTGGTCACAATCAAGGTCAGAAGGTCATTGATCTTGGTGTCATTTGAAAGAGCTTAATAAGTGTAGTAAGTATATCAAATATGAAGTCTCTATCTTTCATGGTTCAAAATTTATGGCGAAGGTTAAGGTTGACAAGAGACAGACAAATAGACGAACAGACAGACAGGGCAATGACAATATGCGCACCGATTTATCGATCCGGGCGAATAAAAAATAACTTACAACTGATTCCGAGCCTTTATTTACCACCGTGCAATTAAGGTAGCCTGTTTGGTTTTTTACCTTCACCTCAGGTAAAATTTCATCCACAATATCAGGTCGCTGAGCATAAACTAAAAATGAATTTTAAATTCTCCAACAGTGATCACATATTTAATGTTTCCAATTTTCAAATATAGTTTGAAATAAATATGCATATATATAGCATTTGCATTCTGAACGTATTTAGTACCATACCAAAGCAAAACTACTTATAAGTATTTACAATTAAAATAGCAGTTTTTCAAATTGGCAAAACAAGAACATTTTATGGCTGATTTTTTTAATAACAAGACCTGATAGAAAACTACATAATTAAAAAGATTGATGTTTATAAAGTAAATTTTCCACGGTCTTAGAAATATGTTTCCTCACAAATTAATATCTATATTTTAGAATAATTAAATTATTGTGATTTAAATTAATTTTCTATCAAACTCTTTTAACTATAATTTAATTTTACATTTAACAGTGTTTAAAATTTCCCGAAATTTTTAATTTAGTCCTTTTTGCTTCATATTTGATAAGCCTTATTTCAATTTTATATTCAAAATTAGTAATTCTCAGGTTTAAAATATATGATTTAGCACAAAAAATACTTGTATACATGTACAATGTATGTAAAACATACTAAAGACTGCAGATCAATCAGGTGTTAAGGTCGAAGTGTTGGATTACAAAGGCATTATTTTGTATATACTTGATTTATGTAAAGCACTAAAACTCACCGACACGAACAATAAAAATCGACAAATTTTTGAGACACCCTGACCCTTCCTCAGGACAAAAAAAGTCATGAAAGAACAAAAGAAATGAAAACAGAAAATCTAGCACTACTACTACACTTCTAAACCCTATTTATTTACTTTACAACAGAAGGACCGGAGACGATTCTCGGTGCTCTGGATTCATTTCATATCAATGCGTTTTAAACATCAAATTTCAAAGTGTTAAAGTGTAAATAGCATGAATAAATAAGATTTAGTTCTTATATGACTTCTTATACTTTCCTTTGTCCCGAGGAAGGGACAGGACGTGCATATTGCCATGCAAAACTTCCAGCCTCTTCACCGTACTCACAGATACTACGGATTACATTGTTAGACACTAAAAGGCTTCTCGGCTTCGATATATTGATAAAGTCTCACCAAATATCATCGGATGTCCAACAAAAACGACCAAAAAAATCCACAAGAACATGTTTTGTTATTTCACACAATCCCTGCACAATTTAAAAACGTGGCGTCATTTAAACTGCGTTTTACATTTAATGTCATTATTTTTAAAGTTTCGTCAAAATTCGAATTCTTTAAAAGGCCCTTGGTTGAGAAAAGTATATATTCTTCTTCCTTATTTCTGATTTAAATGCGTAGATAATAGTTTTGATTCTAAAATAAACACTGAAACAAGTTATGTTTCGATATTTTGTTAAAATGAAAGTAAAGAGTTGATTAGAACATTTTTTTTCAGAATAATTTTTAATGTCGAATTTTATAATATAGAGGTAATTAATCATTTTTTTTTAAATATAGTCTCTTAACTGCAACGATATGTGCAAGCAAACTGAGTAACGCGAGTCAGTTCAAAGAAAATATAAAGAATAGAACAATTTCATTTCTTGATCATTTGTTGCTTACCTCCCACTCGAGAACATTTCACTTATAAAGAGGGATAACCATATCATTGTAAAGTGCTTCACAATTAGACCTTATTCGATACTCAGGTCAACGAGAAGTTGGCAACCTTTATTTTCCGAACGCCTCAGTGTTTGAGGTCTTTTGACGGTATTAAATAATTTGAAGAAAAAAATGTATTTCAATTAACCTAAAATGAGGGAATCTGAAATTTAAAATTTGATTATATCACCTGATATCGTAATTTTTAGTCTGAATTATTCGAACTGATGAAACAATATCGAGTAGGGTACTAATTTTATCGATTATATAATTATATAAAATTTTAGATGGTAATCTAACAAAAGCCTTTAATCTATCCGCTATTAACATTGACTGATTGAAAGAGAACAGACAATATTATAGAATTGTGGTCCCCCACTACTGTTTTGTGGATTGGATGACAAACATGAAAACCCTATCATATTTTATTTCTAATAAAGAAATTCATCATATATCCGTTTTTAATTTTTTTGATATTCCAAAGGTAAATTATTGACAGACTACTTGATGAAACAAAATTATCAAGTCTCGTGAAAGTCATCATTTTGTAAGTTCTTTGGTCGATATGACCTTGTCAGCAAATACAGTTTATCATTGAGTCAAATGCTGACTGACGTTTTTCATACTGATTGTTAGTCCACGATTTATACACTGAATTGTCCACGGATTTCTCCGTTTTACCCGAACATGACAAGGAGCACACATCGGTTGTGACCGGTCGGCAGGGGATGTTCACACCTCCGTGGCACCTGATCCCACCTCTGATGATTTTCGTGTTTGCTTTACTCCTATTTTTTATTCTTTATACATTACATTCAAAAGTAATCTTTAAAGTAAAGTTTTTGGAAATTGATTTAAACATAAATGTTAAAGTCAATGGGCAAAAATACATAATATGCTCGGAAATACCTTGTCACAGGTAATGCACACGTCAAATTCAGAGCCCTTTTTCTTTTTAATCAAAATATATAAGGAAAAGTTTGAAAAGTGGGTAAAATTTCAAGGACACAGGGTAAATATCATGGTATGTTAAGAAAGACAGTTAGTATATATGTATTATATGAAAGCCGTATCTTTTCTCTGTCGAATATTTTGACCAATTGTATGGTAAAATTTTTGAACAGTAGGTCAAATTCAAGTTTTCGGAGTTTAGTTAATTTGGAATGGTCTTGTCACAGGTAATGTGCATGTGAACAATGAAAGCCATTTCTCTTCTCATTCATACGTTAAACCCAAGATTAAAGTTTTTGTGACAGTTAGAGGGACATACTGACAAACGAATGATATCTAATATCCCTTTGCTTTCGCGAAAGCAGGGTACAATAAAACAGGTTGATACAGCAAGATTCTTCCGTTTGCACTAGAATGAATTCTTGTGAGTACAAGAGACCTTGTTGCTAAGCCAATCTCTTTCATGAAATTTCTTTAAAGCGACTAAACAAGAGGTAAGACATTTTTAGCTACAGCTTAAGGAAGAAACTTTATTTATTTGTGCTAATTACAATTTTCAGAACAGATAAAGTTCATTCTTAATCTGTGAAGCAGGATACAATGGTGTCCAGGAAGTGTCCAAAGGTCACATCCCTACCAGTTCTTCACTAGGACAGTTGGGTCCTTGACACTCCATAGTTTCTGAGAAAAATGAAAATAAAAGTATTTCCTGCTAAAATATTGTGTGCATAGTACATGCATTATGCATCTTAAAATGCTGATTTATTTTTACCACATGACTGTTTATTTATCCCACTAGAATAAAAAGCATAACAGATCCTAACCAGCTGTAAACACCAAGCTTGTCATACCTGTTAGTGTAATGCTAGTCTCTCCATTCCCGTATCCGTTGTGTCCGATACAGTAGTATTTAGTGTAGTCATTGGCCTGAACGTTCCTCACAAGAAGTGTAGACCAAAACTCGTCGTTTTGAAGAATACTGACATCTTTGGTTATATCATACTTATCGCTATCCTGAAGTTCAATTCGGTTGCCATTTTCCGCTTCTTTCATCCATTTTACAGCTGGTAGAGGGTATCCTGGATGGAATAAAATTAAGTTTTGTTATAGAGTGATTGACAGATAAATCCAAACTGTTTAGCGGATTAAGGTTTAAAACAATTCGTCGTTTGATATATTTGATCAAAAAAGGATTCCACAAGTTACTTTATGATCAGATGGTGTAAGACATGTCTTTACCATTTGTTATAAATATGTGTGATATCTTGGGTATGACATTATTCTTGAGCTTATTTGTGCGTGGTCTATATTCTTATATTCAATATTTATGCATGTCTTACCAATAGAGGATTTATGAACTTTCTTTTTTTTTAATAAATCAACTAGAGAAGCATTCCAAACAAATTATTTGTAAGTATCATTATTACAATGTCCGATCTCGTCGTTCAAAGGTTCGTTGCTTTACTAAAAATTTACTCTGTGAGAATTTTTTTTTTGATATTTCATGAAAAAGCGTATATAACGAACAGTGAACAATATCACAAATCCAATAAACTATGCAGATCACAAATGGCTGTGGTACACGACATCAAGTATGTAGACTTCCAAGTACAGAAATTAGCATGAAATACTTTAACGTTAAGAACTTCTTATTAAATGTTATAATATAAACAGAGTGAGAGAAATATTAAATCATGTATTTAGTACAATATGGACATCCAGCACACACTAATATAATTTTAAATCATAATCTAACCTAAATATTTTTTTTTTATAGCAAAATAACGTTTTAAGGGTTTTACTGACATAAATGATATTAGAGGATTCAATGTGATCAAATTCATTCTGAGAATATTGTTTAACATTACTGAAGATACACACAAACACACCTGCAACTATACATTCAAGTTTGGCATCGAATCTTCTGTTTTGTGCTTGGCCAACTACAGATTCCACGGGCGTTAGTGACGGCGGGAAAAATACGGCGACTTCCACTCTTACAGTGGCGGGAGGCTTAATGCCATTATCAGCCTCACAAATATAGTAACCACGGTCACTCTTCTTAATGGCAGTCAATGTCAGTGGGGTTCCCTGTACGATAGAGATAAAACAATTATGGAAATGTTTGTAACATCAGATCTTCATGACAATATATCCCGGTAATAATTTTCAAAAAAAGCTCACATTAAAGGTTAACTTTCAATTTTACTTTTCTTACATTACGTTGAAAATGAAGTTTTACTTTCTAATATTACGTTGAACACGAAGTTTTACTTTCTAACATTACGTTGTACTGGAGTTTTACTTGCGACTGGAGTCTCCCCGTTGACAGTGAACGACCGTCCTCTCTTGTCCATGTTATATTTGGAGATGGAATACCACGAGCTTCACAGTCCATCTGAAGGTCAGATTCAAGGTCAACTTCATACAGCGATTTCATGTTCCTCTTGATCTCAGGGGCAACTATAGAAAATTATATATACTTTGATAATTTCATTCACATTTTAAATTTGTATTTTAATAAAGGTTTTATCAATATTAGATGCTAAGTAATATCAAGTATTGCATAATTGAAGTGCCATTCATCATTGCTTACATACAAAGGGATATTTGATTAAGATTGATTTAATGTTGACTGAATTTTTCATACTTATTGTTAGACCATTATTTACACACTGAATTGTCGAAATATTTTTTCCGTTTCTTCCAAAGCATGACAAGGAGCATATACGGCTGGTGTGACCGGTCGGTAGGGGATGTTTACTCCTCCATGGCACATGACCCCACTTCTGATGTTTTGTAGGTCCGTGTTTGCTCTGCTTCTTTTTGGTATTGTTTAATGGACTTTTGAATTTCAATACTGTTCGCAATCTCCATATATTTTATTAATAAAACGACAAACTGATTAATGGTTTCAGTTGTTTTTTTTTTAAACCTAAGTACCGAAGTATAACTTTCAACTTCAATTTCATATTCATTTGCAAACTCTAATTACGCAAGTCTTTATGAATGAGGCTATTGCTTGTTCTTGGTTCGAAAATCAATATTTACACTTATACATGTAAATGAGACCAACTCTAATTTGTCACAATGTTCTTTTTGAACCACGTGCATTGTACTGTTAACTTGTTACATTCTACAGTAAAATTGGCACGTATTTCTGAATTTTCGACGGATTTTCCAGACAAGGAGCACACGGCGGGTCGGCAGGGGATGTTCATTCCTCCATGGCACCTGATCCCATATCTGATGTTTAAGATGTTTGTGTTTGCTCTTCTCGTGATTTATATTATTTAATGCACTTTTGACCTTAAAACTGTTCGGTTTTCATACATTTTAACTTTTTCCATTGTAAGAAATTGGTATAATATTCGTTGTTGAACCACTTACATTGCACTGTTAATGTCACCCTCTTTCTGAGCCACTCAGACAAACTTACACCTGGAATTTTAACTCTGCACATATAATCCCCAGCATCCTGTTCAGATACAGGTCTAATTATCAATGTGTAGGTCGTTCCAAGGGCACTTTGTTTCACCTGTATATCGTGTCTTTTGTCCCCTGTAAAATATTTTTAACACTTTGTAGAACTTATTCTTTTAAGAACCCTTCAAAAATTAATTTTAAATAAATAGAATGTATTGCTTGTTAAAGCTCGTAGGGTTCAGAGTTTAATTGATGTTTATGTTTGTTACACCTTAAAGGTAAATTGTATCATTTTGTGGAATTTTCTCTAAAGATGAGACAGCAATGAAGAGAATATCGAGAATTCTCATACGAAACCTAAGAATACAGATGGACTACTGCTTATATATGTATGAAGTTAATGAAATTTGATTTATTTTATTCCTTTAAGCCATAGGACAGGAGAATTGATATAAAGTTGTATTTTACTTGTTTTACGTGTTTACCACTATATATTACCTGTAAACATTTCCGAATTATCTGTAAATAACCATGTTTTACCTGTTAAAGGTCAGACGATACGTTCCCCAATTTCTGTTTTGTATATCTTCATAATGTATAAAAATATACAAAATTTTTATTACTTTCTGATTTCTAAACCGGTTTCTTATTGTTTTTAAAAATGTGAAACACTAAAAATGTGATTTTGGCAAATTATGTTTTTTTCCTAAAGGATTATATAAGAAATGTCATCATCTGGTATCTCGCACAAATGCCTGGTAAGGTACCTCAATTTTTTTGTGAGTAAACATGTTAAAGAAGTAATTCTTCAACGATAAAATCTTGGAAAATATATATATGTTATTGAGGAACGTCTATTCTGCCCTTAAATACAACTATTATTTACCTAAAATGAATTTTGTACTGCTTATTACCAACTCTGTATAATCGTACAACTCTATTATCTGTAAACAACTCAGATTTACAATAAAATCACCTGAGTATAACCTGTTTACAATTCTGAATCACCTGTATTAAATCTCACTTAAATATCAACACTAGTGAAGAAATATCATCAAGAGTACTGTGCAACAATATATTCAAGAAGTGGTGTGAATCAGATGTGGATACTTAAAAATTCCAAGGAACTTCAGGAAAATTTGAAATCACATGGTTTTACCAAAATCAACAGCTTAAAAACTTAAGACTTTTCAACTTTATATACAACCACTCCCAACGATAAATTAAAGTCCAGGCTTTTTTATATCAATGACAGTTGCCTTTTCAATAAAAATAGAACTCGTAAAGTTACTTACCTTGTCGTCGGGCATTTGCAAAATTATTTTGTTAAAAAACACTCTGATTGTACACACAAGTACTTTAAAGTTGACATCAAAAGATGCTTGAGTTTCTGATTGACAATATCTATGTTGATTTAGAGACCAGGTCTTCCAACAATCTATTGGAATTCCCATGAGTATTAATTGCGTCCCGTTATTACATGTTGCAGACCTTTTTTGTATTCATATGAAGCAGAATTTGTCCAAGATCTTGTAAGTGAAAAGAAGAAAACACTTTATGTTCCTTTGTTATTAATGCAAGACCGAATCCAAGTCAACTGAGCTGGTTTTTTGATAGATTAAAAGAAAATAACAACAGTAAGAAAGTGAAAAAATGTCATTTATTGAAGTAAATGACGCAAAACTAAAAAATACACATATTAAGAGGGTCAGACGAGACTAGAAAAAACTTCGAAAGAACACAAAAATCTTTGGTATCATATTATGCAATCTGACCCCCTAAAAAGAAATATAGCATAAAGCAGGCAGTGATATGCCTGCCATCAAAAAAGGGTGGGATAAAGAAAATAGATATTGTTGTGGCCTTCAACTCGACATTAACATATATCGACGACGTATTGTCTATTCGCATTGGTAATTTTCCATTGTTATGTCAATACAATATATTCAGGTGAGCTTGAGATAAAAGATACCACCGAGTCTGACACGTCTGTTTCATATCTGGATATTTAACTTAATGGTAATTAACAACCAAGCTCAATGATAAACGTGATGACATTAACTTTTCTATCGTCAGCTTCCCTTACTTAAGCAGCAATATACCTTCATCACCTGCATACGGAGTTTATATCGCTCAGTTTATTCGATACGCGAGAGTAATCCTAAGTATGTACAATTTCTAAAACGTGATGATACAAAAATATCAGCAGTCTCGATTAAAGCCATCAAGTTCTATGGTCGATACAATGACCTTGTCAGCAAATACAATTTATCATTGAGTCAAATGTCTACTGAAGCTTTTATACTGATTGTTAGTCCATTATTTATACACTGAATTGACGACGGATTTTTCCGTTATCTCCTGATCATAACAGATAGCACACAGCGGTTGTGACCAGTCGGCAAGGGATACTCACTCCTTTATGGTACCTGATCCTACACCTGAGGCTTGGAGGCCCGTGTTTGCTCTGCTCCAATTTAGTATTGTTCTATAGACTTTTGAGCTTGAATACTGTTCATTATATTCAAATATTTCACTGTAAAAAAAAACTTTGTGTCACCTGTAAATAACTATGTATTATCTGTAAATAACCATGCATTAATCTGTAAATAACCATGTATTACCTGTAAATACCTCTGTATTAGTGGTCATATAAATGAGAATATTGTCACCCGGAGCAAACAACAGCCATGATACCTAGAAAGAAAATTGGATTTTTTACTTTGAATTAAACGTTGATTACTTCTAATATTTTTCCTACATTTAACAATTAGTATATCTCCTAATTTCCTTTACCTACCGCTGAATAAGGTCCCTGACTGGACACTGTACAGCTCAGGTAAGCTGTTTCGCCCACTTTCTTTATCTGGGGCACAAAATCGTTAACAATAGCAGGTCGTTGAGCTTTAACTGAAGGAAATTTTTATGAGAAAGTTGTCATCGATATGCATTGCAATGTTATGTCAACAAAACGTGCTGATATTTGACGGGTTTAAATTGAATAAATTGGATATAAAATCAATTAATTTTTACAATATCTTTGCATGACATTTGCTTATAAATTACATGCATTCAACTGAAAAGACTTTCAAACTGAAAATGATTCTAAATTGGTTCGTTCCTCAGCTTTTGAGCAGATTTTTGTGTGACTATTCAAGATGACAAAGACTGTATTTGATGCAATAATTCATTTGGGTAAAAAATATCAAGGATAAACTATGAAAAATTTATTTATGTGTTAGAGGTAATTACAGTGCAAAAAGGTAATATTAATAGCCCCATAGTGCTAAAAGAAGCACTTTGTGTAGATTCTATAAATATTCTTGACAAAAATCCCCAATGTTTTTGATAACAGGATCCAAACCTGTGAAGAGGTACTTGCAACTGGACTAGATAGATATAATTTGTGTCTGTTGAATGAGGAATTAAAATTACTTCACAAAGTCGGTTCCCATTCTCTACTTTTCTAAAGTTTTTATAGTATTCACCTTTTTCTTTAAAAAATGTTACTAGTTTTATTTGTTCCTATTTTTGTTTTAGTTCATGTGAAACAACTTCCTCTGAATTGGCAAATGTATTGTGCAGTCAGTTCATTGTATTATTTCCAATGACGAAAATCGTGTGCAATTTAACGTTGTCTAAAGGTCGAATCTGATTGCTTCTACTTTGCCGTCTGTAAAAGGTCCTCTATTATATTCAGATTACACTTGATTTGAAGGTCGTAGTCAGTATGTAACATTCTTCATTTCCTACGGGACCCATCGCTAAAAGTACAGGTCTTTTGTTTCTAAAATCAACGGACTAAAATCTAATGCCGCTAAGAGACTCTTCATTAGTAGATAGCTGCTTTTTTCAATACTGTCAAACTCACAAGAAAATAAGTTTCTACCGTCAACTTCCCTTATGTTATAAAAAGCATTCGACAGAGAAAAGTACGCTCTACGTGTAAACAATATTTAAGTATTCTGTTCAATACCGAAGTTCAATTTATCCTTCATTTTTTAAATTGTGCTAATGTTTTTCTCCATCTATTTCATTTTTTACCTCAAAGCGAACATGAACCAACTGCTCACAAAAGATGCATTTCAGATTTTAGGAAGTGCTATAGATTTTTTCATTAGTAAAGAAATTTTTTTTCGGTAGTATATAAACACGATTTTGTGTGAAAAATGAAGTTAAATCCCACTCATGCACTTTTTTATATTTTATGTTTAGTCGATGGATGGGGTTAATAAGCTGTTATATATTGTTTGTTTATATAACTTTATAATTATTTCTTACCTTGATGTTGCAGACAGCCCAGGAAAACAACCCATAACAAGTACATCTCTGTAATGGGTCGATTGGTTACAACAGAAGAGTTTCCCAATATATTCATACATTAAATTACATTCGTCAATACGTTATAAGCTGTTGAAAATTTCTCCAGACTGATTCAAAGAAAAATTAGAAAATGTCGAATGAAGTAGAATTCTTGAAAACCATGTTAACAAAATGAAACAAAATCAGCTTTTCAGTGTTTTTTGTTTGACTGGCAATTATCAAAAGCGTATGATACAATGCTGTAGCCAAATGTTAGTAATATAGATAAAATGTATTACTTGTTAAATCCCTAGTATATAACGTATGTCCTTGTTGCTCCACGCGTCAGCATAAAGGCAGGGGCTGATATGAATGGGATTTTTAGTAGAAATGAAACATTTTATCCATCACATATTTAAAATATTTATTTTATAATGCGAGTCCACTCAGGTCATTTATCAATTATTCGGTCGCCTGCGTGGCGCACTGGTTAGAGCGTCTGCTCTTGAGTCTAGAGTTGATCCTAACGTCACGGATTCCAATCCCACTGTAGGACGTGTAGACCGGTCCTTCGGATGAGCCAGTATATGCCGAGGTCCCGCAAAAAGTGCTAGCACGAAAAAGATCCCTCACTGCTCAATGGCAGTTAAGTTCCAGTATAGGAAAAAATTAAGAACTCTATATTGGCAACTGGTGGCGTCTCATGTGTGTGAAACATTACAAAAGATACAAACAAACAAAACTAATAGAATACTAGTTAAAGAATAAATCTAATCAAGTCATCAAAAGACAAGTGCAAAATGGTTTGGGTTTTTTTTTGGGGGGGGGGATATTGAGAAAAACATTTTGTATAAAGGTATTAATACTAAGGGGGCCGACTAAAGTTTCCATTGCGAAATATTTCGCGCATCATAGTAAAATGAAGCGTATTTACTTATTTAATGCAACTTTTATTGCTTAATTATTAAAATTAAACAAAATTAAGAAATTAAAGGTATAAAAATGCAATTACAATTTGATATTACTGATTTTTTAAACCGATTTTGCAATTGATAGGTAGGTTGACGTCGATGCAGTATGTTTTTGACATTATGATAATCTGTAGCTCTTAAAGAAAGGGGTAATAAAAATATTATTAAGGAAAAAGTAATAAACATACACTCTTGAAATTTAAAACATAGAAATTTGAGAATATCTCCAATATTTTTATCATGTTTTCATGTGAATCCATTGTGTACGTCATATTTTGTAATACTCTATAAAAATAGTAAAATTTGCTAATTTTTTGGCATTTTGAGATGCCCCCTCTGGTAACAAGACGGTAGAATTTGTGTTTCTTACAAATATTGTATAATATAGTATTATTCATCAAATATAGTTTGAACAAAATGTCTATTGTAGTATTTGTATAATTTGCCTTAAGAACCCTCTATACACTAACGAAAAAATGTTTTTTGGACTTTGAGAAAATTACATAGTGTAAAGGAGGCTATTTTGAAATAAACTAATCCATTTTTAATATAGGGAGCGTGCCTTCTTTATCCAGGAAAAATCTTTGAAGACAGTGAAGTAATGACGAAGAAAAATTGCTTTTGATTATTCAAATGGAGAAAATACATGCAAATAAAGTTTTCAATTACTCTATCTTGGTCTAACATAATGTTTAGATTACATGGATTGATTTAAAAATTTGTTATACAGTGCAGGTTACAATTTATTCCTTTTTATTTCAAATGGTGGGTCAGTCTAACTACACGCAAGTACCCTGAAATTAGGGTGCAGTGTAGAGAGGGTCCTTAAAGTGCTAAAAATTTACATTTTCCTATACAATCCTATAGAAATTGTAAATGTATTTTGAGACGGTCCCTCAAAAACACCTGGACGGTAGATTTCCCCCAAAACTTTGCATGTACACTGAAGTTAATGTAAGTTATATATGGTATAAATATGAGGAGTTTCGCTATTGTAGTTTTCACACAATAAAACTATAGTCGGCCCCCTTAAGTTCATATTTAATTTTCACTGTATGATGCGTGGCATTTACCCCCTGGAAAATATTCAAAGACAACAAGTATCAGTGAATAGAAATCACTTTTGTTCTCTTCCATATAGACAATAAATGTAAATAATATGTTCAATTAATTTTTCTTCAGTTGGCCTTTTGACTTTTAAGATGTTAAGAATACTTGAATTAATTAAGAATTGAGTAATATACTGTAAATTTCTATTTTTTAGAATTTAGATCTAAGGGCTGATCACTCTAAAGGCAGAAAAGTACCACCGAATCAGATCTCTTTAGTGTGCAGTGTAGAGAGGTTCTCAAACAATACAAAATTGGATAAAACATGTGGAGCAGAGCAAACACGGACCTCCAAAACATCAGAGGTGTGATCAGATGCCACGGAGGAGTGAGCATGCCCTGCAGATTGATCACACCGCCGTGTGCTCCATGCCATAACCGGAAAATAACGGGAAAATCCATCGACTATTCAATGCATATATACTGTAAACGTATTATATTTGGCTGTGTATTCTTTTTAGCGCCTTTCGCGGAAAGCAGCATCCGCTAAATCAAGTACATCGCTAAATGCTTTGTCAATGAAGGTTTATGTAACGCACATTCAAAGAGCGCTAAATCAAATCCACGCCAACTTGTTAAAAATTCAATTTCCGCCAAATATCGTACACGCCAAATATAATACATATATAATAACCTTACAATAAGAATGAAAATGTCAGTCAGCATTTGACTAAATGAATTGTATTTGCTAACGAGGTCATTGTATCAAACAGAGAACTAAGGAAATGATGATTAAACGAGACTGCTGATATTCTTGTTTCAGCAACATGTTTAATTTGTAAATAATTTGCATGTGTACCTCGTTTTTGAAATTGTTCATACATGTTCTCACACGCGTATTGAATTAACTGAGATATATAAACCCCGTATGCAGGCGATAAAGGTATCATTGCTGCATAAGTAAGGGAAGTTAACGATTTAAAAGTTTCATAAAGATTGGTCGTAGATTACCGTGAATGCCTTTTTCAAGACTTATATGTAACGGATAGACTAACTGATATCTTTTATTTCAGGCCCATCGGGATATATCGCATCAACATAAAGGGAATAACCATTGTTAATTGACAATATACGTCGTTGATATATCTGAAGGTCGATTTGAAGGCCACAGCATGTGTTTTCTTCTTTTCAAGTATAAGATTTTGGACTAATTTTGCTTGATTTGAATACAAAAATAGCTTTGCTAGTAAATTGGTACCAAGGGGGTTACAAATAGACTGTTCGAAAACCTTGTTTTCAAAAAATACATAGATATTGTCTATCAGAAATTCGAGCATCTTTTAGATCTCGACTTCAGAGCACAGTATACAATCAGAATGTGTTTTAACAAATAAATTTTGCAAATTATCAATGAGAAATTTAAATTTAGGTGTTCGAGTTCTGTTTTTAAATTACAAAAATCACCTGTCAATGATATCAAAAATCCAGGACCTAAATTTATCGTGGGGGATTGATGTATGAGTAAGGATATGGAGATAACGAACAGTATTCAATCTCAAAGTCCAGAAAACAATACAAAATAAGAGCAGAGCAAACATCAGAGGTGGGATCAGGTGGCATAGAGGAGTGAGCATCCCCTGCCGACCAGTCACACCCGCTGTGTGCTCCTTGTCATGATCAAGAAATAACGGAAAAAATCCGTCGTTAATTCAGTGTATAAATAATGGACTAACAATAGGTATGAAAAACGTCAGTCAGCGTTTGACTCAATGATTAACTGTATTTGCTGACAAGGCCATTGTATCGACCATAGAACTTACGAAATGATGACTTTATACAAGACTGCTGATATTCTTGTTTCGTCAACTTGCTTGTCAATAATTTACCTCGTTTTAGAAATTGTTCATACGAAGAGCAAGCTCTTACGTATCGTATCAACTGAGATATATATACTCAGTATGCAGGTGATGAAGGTATATTGTTGCATAAGTAAGCGAAGTTGACGATAGAAAAGTTAAAGTCATCACGTTTATCATATAGCTTGGTTGTTAGATTACCATTAGTGTCTTTTTCAAGTAAAATATTCAAGTATGAAACAGAAGTGTCGGATTCTCTGGTATCTTTTATCTCAAGCTCATTAGGATATATCGCATCGACGTAGGAATGGAAATTACCATTGTTAATTGACAATACGTCGTCGATATATCTAAATGTCGAGTTGAAGGCCACAGCAAGTGTTTTCTTTGAAGTATAAGATTGTGGACTAATTTTGCTTAATTTGAATACAAAAATTGCGTTGCTAATAAATTGGTACCCCTTGGGTTACAAAAAGACTGTTCGAAAACCTGGTTTTCAAAAAATACCTATATATTGTCAATCAGAAACTCGAGAATCTTTTAGATCTCAACTTCAGAGTACAGTATACAATCAGAATGTGTTTTAACAAATAAATTTTGCAAATTATCAATGAGTTCTGTTTTTAAATAAAAAAAAAAAAATCACCTGTCATTGATATTAAAAATCCAGGACCTAAAATTATCGTGAGTTATTGATGTATAAATGAAAACTATTAAACATATGATAAACATGTTTGATGTGTAAAATAAACTTTTGACTTTCGATCAAAAACAAAAAAATGATAAGTAATACTGAATCCAATATCAAAAGTCATTCATTTCGATGGTCGATACAATGACCTTGTCAACAAATACATTGTCAATACAAATTGTTAGTCCATTATGACCGGTTTTTATTACATAACCTGAGTGTGCTCGATTTGCTAAACTCTGTACGCATCTCTTAGTTCGGAATGACGAAACTTGTGAAGGTTTTTTGCTTTCTAACATTTCTACTCTGAATAAAATTATTTTTCTTGATAAAAGTTTTAATATTTCTCATCGAAACACAATCAAAATTGCCACTTTTCCTAAGGATTAAGAATAAAGTTAAAAATTTGTGAAAGTGCAAGGATGTGTCAATAAAACCCGCCAAAAAATTTAAAGTGTTAATAACTTTTAAATGAAATAAGATTTTTAATTAATTTTTGTGTGAAATGCT